CACACAAAACTAAAACATTCAAATTTCTCTAAATCAGCACACGGAAATGTTTAAATTGTTTTAAACTCTCCCTCTTAATCAAACCATTCAGATTTGACTTCCTTCAAAGTCATCCAAACATCAAATTAGTCATCATTACCATCACGGATCTTCGCGTTTTGCTCAAGATTTTGATATTTTCATGCAGGTCTTTACTTTAAAAACATCACCTGAAATTACCTTTACCCACATCAAAAGATACCATCTTTTGAGCACACCAGTCAATGTAACACAGACTGCATGGAAAAAGTGGCATGTGTGGGCTATTCTCAAATTTTGAAATAAAAGAACTAACCACGGATATCGGCAAGTTGAAGCCTACACACTAATATAAAACCGAAAAAAAACAAAATTTCATCCCTGGCTCACTACATATACAGTTATAACTCCAAAAAAATCAAGGACTAGAGCTGGTTAATTGCTGAAGACTATGAGAACCCCAGACACTTATGAAGCAGTAGAAGACTGAAACCATACCAGTCGTAAACAAGTCAATGAATCTTTTCGCAGCGAGAACAGCAAATGATTGTTTATAGAATTGTCGCGTGAAAGAAAACAGAAATATTAATGAAAGGTCAAAGTTGGGTTGACTAAGATGAGTAGAAAATATATGTCTTCACAAATCATAGATAACCAAATTTGACTCCTAGCTACTGCTCGGTGCTCAATGTCGCAAGTCAAGAATCATTAACAATAAGGAGTGTTAGGAATAAGAATAAGAATTCCAAAAGAATACTTATTCCTTGAAATCAAAGAATAAAACATTCCAGCAGCCCTCATGTATTTTCTTTTTCTTTTCATTTGGAAAGAAAAAGAAACTTCAATTGACCAAAATATCCTGCAATTGCTTCAGCACTCAGCAGTACAAGTTAATTTAAACTCCGCTCTTATTCTTTCCATTGGAACTGAAGATCCATTCCCTCTATATTGAATTCTGCGCACCAAACGAGCTATAAGTGAATTTCATAAACAAATCCAAATGTTGTTGATCAAGTCTGATACAGCTGTAGATTGATTGATTCAGAGATTTCAATAACAGCCGTTGTGCACATACCATGGAACACAAACTTTGATGTCATAAGACGGGAAATCAGATGAAGCCCACGAAAAGTAAAAATAGATCTCTATACCTATGCTTCAATTCCAACACCATCGTGAACACTGAAATTTTAGGCCAGACATACCAACGTTGACCAATCCAAATCAGCATCTCTATATATAAGCTGGATCGCCAGGGAAAACTGTTCCGCTGACAATGATGACGTCACTAGGACATCATCATGAAGTCATCGCGGGATGATCTGCAGAATTTTGGCTCTCCTCCCGACTAAGGCAACACTGCCGGCGTATTGGTTGGTCCGTTGGTCATTAAATTACAGGTTATTACGACTCCTTAATTTAGAAAATTATTCATCGTTAAACTGAAATAACAGATCAAGAACGAACCTCAAGAACACCCTCTAAGCTTGATCTATTCACTGGTGATCAGATATAAAAAGATATGTACGAACAAACAAAACAAGATGCGATAAAATAAGAAGACAGTTGTAATAATCGACTAACCTCGGGATACTAGACGAACGGCGTGGTGTTGACTGCGTCCGACCTACGGGGAAGAAGAGCTGGAAACGGAGAGAGCAATATGCCGTACGACCGTCTGGCTAAGAGATCTAGAGAGAGAGAGATGGTAGATCGGATGAATTGGTAAAGGATCGGTTAGGTTATTCCCGAGCTTGGGCAGGTGATTTTCTCATCGGACCGGATCAAACACTTTGGGCCAATAACTTTAAATCAATTAATTTGTCAGATTTTAAATTGTCTTTTACTAGTAAAAAGTTTTTAATTTTCCCTTTTAAATTATCCCATCAACTTTGACATTTTCTCGTTCAATTACATAATTTAGGATTCCTCTAACTTCTTTCTTTTTTTGTACAAATTTCAATCACATGATTCTTATTTTATTATTTCTCGTGTTAGTCAAATTTGACCGTAATTTTAAGGATTAGAGGGAGTATCTTTTAGTGTCCATTATTTGGTAACTTTGAAATCGGTTAAATGAGTTGAATCTATTGAATCTCATGAAGCTCTCGTTGACTAGCCGATTTCACTAATTTGCTAATTTGCAAAAATATTATAATTGAATTTTTTAATGCTAAATAAAGTTTTTTCTATTAAAATAGTTATAATGATCATTTATCATATTTATGGTCAATTCTTTTTTTTGAAAGGTAACTTTAGTCAATTCAGTCGCAAAAATAACTTAAAACTCACATGTTGATTATTAACCCCCCCCCCTCACCGAATTAAGCCAAATTTTCCTTTTTTTAGTCGCCCCAAAACTTTATATTTCCATTTAAAGTAACAAACATATGATTAAATTAGTTTCTCTATCCTTGCACAAATTTCAATCATAGAGTTTGTATTTAATTTCTTATGTGTAATCAAAGTTGGCCAAGTTTTGTTGGACGAAAGAGTGTAATTCAATGCACAAAATCAAAATCAAATGATAAACAAAAATGACTCATAAGATCATAAGCGTAAAATATTGCTTATCAAACACTTTTGGGTGGGGCATCTATGTGTTTGGATTCGAAATATTTCACAACCGTTCACAAATTTTCTTGGGCATGTCTCAGAAAAGCTACATCGATAAGATCTTAGGATGATTTAATATGGACAAATGCTTTTTATGTATAGTTCCAATGCAGAAGGGGGACAAGTTATGTTTATTGCAAAGTCCTAAAAATGAATTGGAATGTAATGAGATGGAAAAAATTTTGTATGTGTCAATGGTTGGATGTTTGAGATACCTTTAGACTTGTACTCATATTGATATTCGTTTTGTTGTTGGAATGCTGGTCGATATCAAAGTAATCCTGTAATGGACCACTGGAAAACTGCAAAGAAGGTTTCGAGGTACTTGCAAGGCATCAAAGATCGATCGCATGCTTAAATTAAAGAGATACGATTGTCTTGAGATTTTGTTGAATATGTCGATAGTAGAAAGTCAACATATGTTTATCTGTTCATATTAGCTGGAAAAGCAGTGTCTTGAAATAGTAGTAAACAAACAATTATTAATACTTCCACAATGGAAGTAGAATATGTGACATGATTTGGGGCCACTATTCATGAATAGTGGTTGCAGAACTTTGTTTCAGGGCTTAGGCTTGTTAGCAATATAGCTAAGCCACTAAAAATCTACTGTGATAACTGGCAGAAGTCTTCTTCACAAAGAATGATAGGTACACCAAAGGTGCTAAACACATAGATCTGAAGTACTTATCATTAAAGGAAGAAGTTCAGAAATATAGAGTGTTTATTGAGCATATTGCCACTGATAATCCGTTGACTAAAGGATTATCACCCAAAGTTTTTAACAATCGTGTAATTAGTATGTCCGTTATTGATAAAGCCTTGCTAGGATACTATTGTTAGTGATTATTTATGTTTGCTCATTTTGCTATATCCTTTTTTACACTCATTTGAATTCAATAAATGTTATGTTTTTGTTTAAATTGTTATCTATTTAATTGTGATCGCATATTATTATTATTATTATTATTATTATTATTATTATTATTATTATTATTATTATTATTATTATTATTATATATAGTGATAACAAGTGTTGATGATTTAAGTATTCCTCAAATTTAAGAATTGAGACTTGAATTCTCAAATGATGAGCATGAATTAGAATTGTATTGTGATACATCGTATACACATGGAAGAGAGCATTCGAATATAAGGCTCTGTTTGCAATCTCTGTTGATAAGTGTTTTTGGCTTTTTTTTTTAAGAAAAAACACTTATTTTATCAAACACTGCCAATTTTTACTATCCGGTTTTCGTGTAGAATCCACTTTTTCTATTATACAAAAAACACTTATTTTTACCAAACACTACCAACTTTTAACACTAATCACTTTTTCTCAAAAAGTGCTTTTATTTAAGCACAAGTGGTTGCAAGCAAAGCCTAAATGGTGTGTAACCACCGTGATCTAAACAATTTGAAATTCAGTTAAGTTTTTCTTGTTGGTTTGTTTTGATGAATATTGTGCAATTTAAATTTTCACCAATCTAGCATGGATCATATTACATAGGGAAAACTGTCAAATAGGTCCTCGAACTTTCATAAAAAGGTCAATTAAGTCCTTCTATAGGAGACTCTGTCCGGTCATCACAATTTGGGGCGGTTCCCGGTGGAATTTTTTGATGAAATTTTTTGAGCATCTTATTCATCAAGTCTAGTTTACTCATACCAAATTTCAGCTAAAAATTCAATCGGGAACACATTCAAATTAATTCTTGAAGATAACTGCGCATTTTTGCGTTCTCGAATTAATTTGAATGCGCTCCCGATTGAATTTTTAGCTGAAATTTGGTATGAGTAAACTAGACTTGATGAATAAGATGCTCAAAAAAATTCATCAAAAAATTCCACTGGGAACCGCCCCAAATCGCGATGACCGGACAGAGTCTCCTATAGAAGGACTTAATTGACTTTTTTATGAAAGTTCAAGGACCTATTTGACAATTTTCCCTATTATATATATTAGTTAATAATTAATATTATTATATTAGTCTTGTAATTGGAGTTATATATTATTTATAGAGTTTATATACTCATAAACTTTTAATTGGTTTAATGATAAGTCAAATATGTGTTCAAGTCTGTTTATGACTAGATTTCCCAACCATCTTCTCTCTCTATATGTATGCATATTCCATATTGAATATCAACACAATATAATTGAGAGATCTTTATATGTCAAAAATCTCCTAAGGAAATAGATCAAAGGGGATACATGATTTATTACTATACATTCATTATAATGGATCCAGATATTTCTAAAAATCGGTCGATCAGTATATAATATATATGATGTCTATCTTTGAATTTAGTTTTACTATCTCATGCATCCAAGCTAACATCAATTACTAGTCACACCATGCATTGCACGCTACATACAAATCAAATATATACACATATAATGTCTTATCTGTCTTTCTTGTTAGTTATATGTACATTTATATTTTTCAATTGCTATATTAATTAAGGATGGGGCATGGCTTTACAACCTTGCATCCACCCAATTAAGGTGGTGTATATTCACATGAATGAACATATACACATATTACATAATACATATATATACACATCCCCATATCAGCTGCAAAGTTGTGTGCACAGTTTTTGAATGTCTGATGCAGTGTTGTTGGCACTTGACAAATAATAATTACTGCTTTTGTTGTCCAGCATGCATGTCAAGCTCAACTGGTCTCCGGTTTGGTTTGACTGTAATTAATTCAGAAGAAAAAATATATTTGTATAATCAGATTACTTAATAACATGTTCCATGGTATAAATTCACGCAATCAATCGACTAAGATTTATTAAAGAAATCCCCTTCGTTCGCATACTTAAGTTCATATTTGAGTTTTTTGCCAAACTTTATTAACTTTAACAAATAATTATTTAAAAATCACATCACTTTATAACACAAAATAGTTTCAACTACTTTAGTTTAACAAAAATGGATTTCTTCCATCCATGACCTGAAAGATAGACTAGTTATTAATTATGATCTTGAATGATTAAAATGTAAATATGTAGGATCCAAATAATTAAAACTAGGAACTTTATCAATTTCGGACCTTTAAGAGACCTAAAATATAAAGTGTATCCATATAGGACCCGGATGATTTAAAACTATCAATCAAAGACTTAAAATATCATAGATTTTAATGAATTTAATTTTTATTAATTCCATTGCTAGTCTTTGGAGTTTTTTTCTTCACAAAAGTTTATTGGTTAATAAAAATAAATAATATTTAAAATTTCAAAATAAAAATTATAAGAATTCAATGTACTTTAGGACTTAAATTGATAGTTTTCCATCACATAGAACCTGTATCGATACATTTCACCTTTTAGACCCCTTATCGGTAGAACACCTATCTTTCAAGTCCTCGGTTGATAAAATTGCATAAAACCACCAATCTAAGACTTATAATATCATGAATGTTGTTTTGTTTATTTTACTCAATTTTAATAATATTTAATCCTTTAAAATTTATTAGACTTTTGGAATGAAAAATTGATAGAAAATTAGTACAAACTAAATAAAAAATTTCAAGACATTTATATCTATTTTCATATCATTCATTGATAATTTATAATCATTCAGGCCTTAATGTAGACTAATTTGTTACCTTTTCGGTCCTCGATTGATGGTTAACATATCTTTTGGGCACTGTATTGAAAGTTCTTATATTTTTATTAAAATGTCAATCCATAATTTCTCATAAATGTTATAAGAAATTATAAATGTTATAATTTCTTACAAATGTTACCTTTAAAAAGTGAAAACCATAGAATTCAAATTGTGGATTTAATTACGGGAGAGTAGTTGAAAGTAACACGTTGCTTACCGAGCAACGTGCATCACAAGTCCATATAGGAGTTGGAAAACAACTCAAATAATGACACCAAGAACAATGATCATTACCATCCACACCTTGGAGTAGCATTACCATACCAATAGTCAGCCTGATGACAAATGGAATGATATAATTCTTTAGAACAAACTAATTACTGAGTAATAAATAAATAGAAATTACTCAATGTAGGACCAAAACATACACAAACTTCAAAAATATGACCAAGTATATTTTATTTTCCAAATAGGATCTGATTAGTTTAGTCCTATTAAAAGATTAATTTAATTTAAACTTTCCAACATAGGAGTCGTTGAGTCCTACTTTGGAATAAAACATTGGTAGTCATATTTATAAACTTTATCCATATTTTAGTCCTATTTGTGAAATTTTCTCGAGTATAAATAATTGAAAGATCAGTTAGGAGTTATAAGTTACCCTAGTATGAGGATTATCAATGCAAATATGAGGAGAACACACTGATAAACCTTGTGTTTGGCTTTTCTTGATGGCAAAAAGTAACCAGGTGGAGCATTTCTTTGTTTAACATATCCAAACTGAGGGCGAATGAGAAGGATAAATCCGAGTAAAAAACCAGTCACAAATCCCCCGAGATGAGCAAAGTTATCTACATGGGGGAGAACTCCAACAGCTAGATTTATCAGAATGATGAGAATGAGAGTCAATAGTGTTGCCAACTGAAGATACATGCAAAAAAACATGTAAGATTTTGCCACACTTGTGACATAGTTTTACACACACACACACCAACTCCTTTCGTAAAAGGGTTTTCCTTTTAGTATTTATTATTCATGTGGTGGAGATTTGCTGATTTGGTCCTCTAACCTTTGTTTGTGGCTATTACTAGTTGTGCAAGTTTATATTCTTACAAATCATGTCACATAACTAATACTCCCTCCGTCCCACTATTGTCCCAATTCTCATTCACTTGGTCAACACAAATCACTCTTGATCTCTTACTTTATATTAAAAAAATTATCAAATTTGATTCTGATTTTTGTGACTTTGTAAAGCTTTTAATGTAGTTTCTGAATATGTAATTTTTTTTCTAAAAATAATTTGAGTGCGGTCTGATATTTGTTTGTTTTATCGTCGGTCAAGCATCGTAAACCGTAACGAGACCATAATAGTGGGACAAAGGGAGTATTTTTGCTCATATGAGCATTATATTTTGGAATGTACTAAACCACCTTAATGTTACTAAATGTGGGACCGCCGACACATGACTATTCGGTGAAACTTATACATTCTCGTGAATTATAGTAGACAAACTTATTCATTACATGACATAATTTACATATAAGTGCATTTGATATGGGCACAAATATAAGTTAGAGTTTAAATGAACAAATTTATCCTTAATTACATGCTCACTGTAAACTTTTTTATTCTTTAATTTTTAAACTAAATTTCATCCTATTTAAGATGGGCATCGAGCCTTATCACACCGTTATGTTGTTGTTGTGTGATGAGAAGTCACACGTTCAAATCTTGAGAGAGATCTTGTATCAAAACGACAAAGGAAAGCTTACTCATTATACACCCTTCTGGCAGTACCCTTCCCCAGAACTCACCTTACGAGGACGTCAATATGCACCAGGGTTCCCTTTTTTCATCCTATTCAAATTTGATTATATAGTCCTATTCATAATGGTATATGTATAATACATTGGTCTCAAGTTGCTTTTATGTTGTTTTGTGTTGCACTATAAGATGTTTGGGTGATAATACTCATAGATAGATCGAGAGAAATATAGACACTCAAACAGGGACGTAGCTTGGCCTCGACTCACCCCTAATTGGATTATTTAAATATATGTGTACAATGTTTTTGTGTAAAATTTATCTGATTATATTTGGGAGAATTCCCCAAATGGTAGTAAATAAATCCTTAATTGTCAAAATAGGATTAAAGTTTGAAAATTCCCTAAATAGGAGTTATTATTTGTATTTGGACCGAGATACCCTTGAAGCTTGATAACATGCTGCTACTCACACAATGTTGGACCATACCACTCACCGGCCACCACCGCTCGCCGTCAACCAACGCTCTCCGGCCACCGCTGCAGCCTAAAAATGGCCGTCGTTGCAGATCTGGCAGCCATTGCTGCAAATCTGGCAGCCGTTGTTGCAGATCTGGTCCCCGGAGCTGTAGATCTGGCCGCCTCCAGCCGTCGACTACTGCCCCTGCAAATCCGGCCGCCGCCGCTACAAATCCGGCCTCCACTACTGCATCTCTGGCCGTCGTTGCCGTTGTTGCCAACATTTTTCTCATAATGCCAACATAAATCTAGAATGTCATATTAATGGCAATTTCAAAGAGTAACACAGTTTTTTTCGAAAATAAAAATTCCATTTTGATGGCATTTTCAGAGAAAGTTTGGCAATTTCAACAACTAAACAAGAAATCGGCCAAGCATTGGACCTGTGACAACAGCAGAAGACAAGAAGAGAGAAAAAAAGTAGAGGAGGAAGGAGGGGAAGAATAACGAGCTTCATTACTCTGGAAATAGATCTGGATCAAATTTGCTACTCACTCCCTCTCTGCTCACCTCTGTTGCTCGTTGCTAGCCGATGGTCTCGCTGCAGTAGTGTAGATGCTCACCGCTTCCAAAATCACGTTGTTGCAGGTTTTCAACCGAAGAAGATGGACGGAGAAGATGACCGGAGATTGGAGCTCACCATCTTGCAACGTGAATTATGAGGAGATTGAAGAAGATAGCTGGATGCGCAGATATTAATTCAAAAAACATAAAAGAAGAATTGACCTGCCAAGAAGAGAAGTAGTGATGCGTGGAAAAGAAAGGCCGGTTCATGTGCGGAAGATGATGCAACTAGAAGGGTAAAAGTGGAATAATACTCCTATTTGGGAATAAAAATATATCTACTCCTATTTGGGAATTTACACATTAATTTAGTCTTATTTAGGGTAATAACTCATTATATTTGTACCTATTTATTTACTCCAATTTATACTGTAATTACGCCACTGCACACAGATACTTCATAATTTATATACGGAGTAGTACCTTATTTTCATATATGGTCCAATTTGTGAGCAATTCAGACAACATAGCTCCAAGCAAACCAAATAGAGCTCCAGAGGCGCCAACCGAGATCGTCATCCTCACAAATAGGGCAGATGCCAAGCTTCCTCCCACTCCAGAGAGAATATAAAGCAAACCGATCTTCACTGCAACAGGCATGCATGCATGGTCAAATAATTGTACATATTTTCTATCAGATCCAAGTTAGGGTTGTGATGGGTTCACGGGAGGATTTAGGAATCTGGGATGCCGAAAAGTAATTATACTAGACTTAAACATTACTACATTAGAGAGGTGAGATAAAATGAAAAATAAAAATTAACTAAACAATTGAAAAAAAATAAGTTGCCCTGAGTTTTAGCCTACCATAGCGCATTCATAGATCCTCTCTTGGGTGGGTTGAAGCCCAGAGCAACATAAATTTTGCTTTTTTTTCATTTTTCTTATTTAACGCACATCAGTGATGTTTAAGTCGAGTATAATTACTTTCCAATCCAGATTCCTAGATCTGTCCCTATCTATCACATTCATCATATGTATAGATAAGTCACAAGTTCACAACATTTTTTAAGGTAAAAATGAAATGGTTGTAATTAAGGTTTATCATACCAAACCCAAATTCTTGTTCAAGTCTGATGCCAACGCATAGAAGGCTAACCATGTTGGCGGCGACATGGAACACACCAGCGTGTAACCACATACAAGAGAACAACCTCCATACTTGATGATCTTTCACCACCTTCTCCACTTCTAAAGCTCCTAGTTTTCGCAGCCTAAATAAAATAACATAAGCTGAGTGTTAAATGTCAATAAGAGAACAATAGTATAAATATTATACAATAGTATTGACGAGTACTTTGGTACCTCAGTTATTGAATGAAGTGAATTGATACCTTAAGTACATTTAATTGATTCACAATGATACTATTTTGAAGTTCTTGTCAAAACAATCTTACTTGTTCACCTTATTTTCACGTGAATTTGATATGTTGAATACAAACACATGTGAGCCCGTTTGATAACTATGTTTTTCGGCTTATTAGGCTTATCTGCCAACTTTCTCACTAAACACGTAACTTTTGATTTCGCGCTCTAGGTTGTGTAATAATAATAAAAAAGTAAAGTTGAAGTTACTTTTCTGGTTGTATTCACTGGAGTTACTATAAATGATCATTTTAGCTATTTTTCATATAATTTTTTCTTTATTTTTTTATTAAATTTTTTTTAAATATAAATTTTTCATAAATCAACAGAATCAACCAATTCAGCCAGTTCAACTAGAACTTCATAAATTTATGCAAAATCAGCCAATACCAATTTTGAGTATTACCAAGGGGCTCGTAGAATATAGAACGCAACATGACCCTATTATTATGGTCTATGTTGTAAGGAATCAGGGGAACATAGTGTATATAAATATATAATGTGAAGCACAAGATATAATAGAAAACCATATCTTTGTATATTTTTTAAATAGTTTATACATAGTATATAATGTACAAGTTTGATTAGTAAACATATTGCAAGAAAAAGAATAAAAAGGATGAAGACTCACGTATCAGCAGAGGGCCCAAGCAGGGGATTTTCATGGAGGCTTTGGAACGCAAACCGGCCAAGGAAATCCGATCCGAAGCATTTCTCAGAATTTGTAGGGCAGTCATTGACGTACATTACATATGCAAAGAGACCAATATTGGCAAGGATAATGAGAGGAACGAGCCACGGAAACCATTTCTTGAACGGCCGGTAAGGCCTCGGCGGCGATGGGAGGGGAGGCGGGTGGTTGTGGTGGTGATGGCGACGGGGCTGGACATTAATTTCAAGTTCGGACCCCGGCAAGGAGTCCGGCGGGGTCCTCCCCATCGCGACGGAGCCACGCCACTTAAAACTCGAAGAACGGCAAACCAAAATGCGGGTGATCCAAAGGTATAGTAAGGTGGCCTTGTTGATGGGGGAGAAACGATGATGATTATTCTTGAACTAGAAAATATCCTATGGATGATGAAGATTGAATGAAGGAATTTGGTTTTGTTGGACTAGACAATGCAACGGGAATTATGGGAAACATATTAGGGTATTATTTTATTTGCGTTTTCTTCAAAATGCAATGTGAATTAGGCAAAATAAATGTAATTTGACATGCATCCTATTTTTTGAGCAATATTAGACTTTATAGTGTACTTTTAAAATCTTTTATGCATTAAAGTCAAATGACGTTAAATTGAAATGCGGTGTTATACATTATTAATGATTTCGAAAAGATAGTTCAAAATTAATATTAATATCACTAAAAAAAATGAGTTGCAAAGTCAAATGGACTCTTATTAAAACTATACTTTCCAACAAAAAACATTTATGACTAAGGGCGAAGTAAGGTACGGTAGGGTCAGGGTGGTCAGATGACCTTCTCTGAAAGTTTTAGGATTTAGAACATTAAAATATCTTTCCATCAAATATATTATGACTCACGTTACTCAATATGAATAAAACATTATTACTTCTATAAAATCAACATCATCTAAATTTGAAATGAGTAAGCTTTGATACATAATATTGATTCTATTTCCAAATTCTAAGTGTATCACCCATTATGTACGCAGAGTTTATTTTATATTATATATATATCAAATCTATAATTCTATTATTTCCATTTAAATTACATTTATCTAAGCTATATGTGAACCATTCAATTACTCTGTAATACCGGAGTATTTTTTTTAAATGATCTACTTTTGTTTATTATCTACTCCCTCCGGTTCTTATTTAAGTTAATTAATGGTTTGAGTGTTTGACTTCACATATTTTAAGATGAAAATTATTTTGCTTTTGACTTTCCTATTATACCCTTTATTGTTAATGTACTACCCTTCATATTCACCCTTCACGTCCACGGTAAAAACATCTTCCATACTTCTTCAAGTCACCCACAAATGGAAAATGAAGATCAGTGCCTCCAACTAAACAGTTGAGGACTTACCGTCACAAGTTCACTTGAATAGTTACTTTGTTTATGCAACATTGTCTTTCATATGACAATAATATTGAATATATAAAAATAAAAAAATAATTTAACACTTTAAAATAATATTAAATAATTTTTTTTCATATGACACCAATGTTTTTATTATCTTTTACTACCATATAACACCGATGTTGCATATATATGAATAATAAAAATTAATTCTATTAATTTTCATGAGCTAATAACCCGTGTCATGTCCTGAAAATTCTCTTTACCTATGCCGTGTAATTTAATTAGATTGTGTTTGAGATATATAAAATGAAATTTATTTCAACAGTTGATTATATGTGTAATAATTGTTATTACAAAATAATGATAGCTGAAATCAATTTATGTTTAGATAAAGGTGATTAAAAAGGTGGTTTCATTTGGATGGAATAGAAAATTACCAAAGACCTTTTGAATTTTTCCATCCAAATGTTATATATAGAGAGCAATAGTGTGTTTGGACCATTCAAAATAAGATTCACTCGATAAACATGTATAATCATCTATTGTTATAATCAATTAAATTCACACTTAATTGTCGATAATTTAACTGACACGAACATATAGATAACATTACCTCTGTCCCAAAAAGGTTTCCCATATTAACTTTGGATAATGATTTTAACGACTATATTTGAATATATTTTATAAACTTTATGCTTTTATATATGTAAATATTTTTAATAAGGAACATTTTAATATAAATTTTTATATTCAAAATAATTCAATAGTAAGATATCATTATTCATAGTCGACTGTAATTGATCAAGAAAAATAAATTTGACAAATCTTTTTGAGATAGAGGGACTAGAACAAAATAAAAAATTAAACGTCCTTTTATCCCGTGCATGACACGGGTTGAAATATAGTACTAGATAGTATCTCTACCCGTGCCGTGCACGGGATAAATTGGGGTTTTAATTTTACTACATATGTGTGTGTATTGACATATGTATGAGTTATTATAACTAACGAAAAGTCACGTATTCAGTCGATTATAACAATGGATGATAAATGCATATTCTTACTTATCGAGTATATTTTATTTTTTAACTAAATATCTAAACATATTCTCGGTCTATATTTTCCAATTAAAAGAGCCAATTTTTTATAACTCTTAATTGCATGTGATGGAGTATATGGCCCAGGGACCCCCGGCCCATTGACTCCTACTACTCCAACACAGGCCCAACAGGCCCAAGAAGCGCATGAGGCCCAAAGCACCGCGGCCCAAGCTCAAAGGAACCCACAGTGCGCCTGGGGATGCCTTCGGCACCATGGCCGAAGGCTCCAAACTTCAGGAAACAACTGATCTTAGGCATACAAAGCTACTGGGAGAAGACAGCGAAAATCAGGAGCCTTCGGCTCATACACGCCCTCGGCATAAGGGTAGCCTTCGGCTACATAGAGCCCTCGTCCACAGGGGAGCCTTCCGCTACAGCGCGATCATTGAAGATTCCATTTGGAGACAAGCAACCACCGCATTCAATGCAGCGTCACATCCAACAATTAACCACCGCATTTAATGCGGTGCACATGTGAATGCCGGTGCCACCCCGATTGAGGTGACCCCTCGACCGTCAGATTGTTGACATGTGTACTCTCATCGCATTTATGGCTGCTATAAATAGCAGCCCTTATACCTTTTGTAAAGGATCCCAGATCAGAATTCATTAATATATCTGACTCTCTCTCTCTATTACTTGTTTGCTCTGACTTGTCTCTAGTTATTCTCCGCAATAACCCTTCGGATAAGCTACACCCCGGGTACACTATCCATCAACATCCAAATGAATTTCATCTTTTCAACTATCTTTATATATAAAAAAAAGAAATTGGCCAATGCCTATTTTTATGCATTAAAATTTCATTTGTAACTTATTGCCTTTTCAAAACTTATAACTACACATTTTTGTTATTTATTTGTTTAATAATGGTTGTGGTAATATTTTTTAAGAAACTAACCCTTCTAGGATTTACAATCGAGCATATTAGTCCTTCAAACTTCTTCTTTAAAAAAAAGTTAATATTATATAATTTTGACACATTCTGATTTTAATGAAGCTGATGACAGCGGCAACAGCTCGGGTGCATAACATGTTTGGTAGCGGTCAATTTAGTTTTCATTAGATTGATTTAGAATAAGTATATCACCAAATAGTACTATATTAAAGTTACATCCATAAAGAACTATCATTTGTACACAGTTTAATAAAGCTTTCAAAGATCTGAAACTATCGGGAAAAATATATAAAGATTTATATTAATATTTAATACATACGCTAAAGTAAAAAATAACTTCTGTTTTTGTAGATCAAATAAAAAAATTTGACAACAATATAAAATATGCTTAATTAGAAAGATGAACACATAAAAAAATTCCAAGTTGATCAGCATGGGGAATAATTATGTAAAAGATGTGTAATTGATATTTATGAAGAGGAAAAAGAAATGATATAAACCATAAATTAATTGATTAAAATGAAATTGGCAAATTTTTGGGGACAAGAAAATTACATGCGTAAAAATATATATTATAGAACTGAACTTTTATTTCCATATGACATTTTTAAGAGAGAAAGTAGTTAACTGAGCTTATCACTGCCAGTGTGTAATGTGAAGAGGGAATGATCACATTTACTATGGGTGAACCCAATGTTTATAGTCTAGTACTCACAAAACATGATAGTAATTAGTCTTCTTTATAGAATAAAAACGCGATAGTCTTATTTTGGAATAGACAAACATATTTACTATGCGTGAACCCAATGTTTAAAGTCTAGTATTGACAATACATGGTAATAGTTAGCCTTATTTATGAAATAAAAACGCGATAGTCTTATTTAGGAATAGACAAACATATTTACTCCTATTTAAGCCAATTGCTCTTTTTTTTTTTTGTACTAACTATTCCCCTCAAAGTTTTATTTGTACTTATATGCATTAATAAGTATGTATGGTCTGGTCTGATCTGAACTGGTCTAAGAGTTCATTTCTAAGGGTTTACTTAGGATGTTTTTACTTGTAGTGAAATTTGTCGATATGGTCTGAGCTGGTATGATATGATAAATGTCCGATCTATGTGTATTTTATTACTATGGAAGTTTGGTCGTCTGATCATATCTGTTTAAGTCTTGTTTGATAGTCTTTTTAAGTTTGATCAGATTTGGGACTGAAAACAGACCAAGTAAAACTTTTATATAGGAAGTAGTAACAATAATCACTTAATTACATCATTAAGGATGCTTTTAATCTCAAACGAGATCAAATAAGATCATATTGGAACTGATCAAATCAGACTAGATCATATTAGATTTAGATAATGGTAAAAATATACATAGAATAGAACAAATAATTACACCATTATTACACAAACCATACCAGGTCACATCTAATTACACCATAAAATTTCTAGGGCCAAATTTCAATTCAATTAAATTAAAGTATCCTCATAGCTGATGACGGTTAACACTTTTGCATTCAAACCTTCGAGTTTGGATGTTTCTACTTAAATTTATCTCAGCCCCCAACAAAACTAGGACATACTAGATCATACTTAAAGAAATCAAACTAGATCAGACTTCAACATGTTAAATCAGACTTCGATAGTTACACGTAGATCAGACATTTAATAGACTAAATCAGATCGGTTCAGACCGGATAAGACTTAAATTGGCGAGTTCACATCAAATCAAAAAAATTAGTCCAATTAAAACATCCTTCCCACTTCCTGTTAGACCCAATCAAGCCGAACCCAATCGTTCCATCTTCCGACTTTGGGAATCCGATTTACGGATTTAAGAGTAATTATATTATTATTATTATATACGGAATGACGGAGTATATCAATTTTAGTCAATTTCTTTTCCCTTCGATTGGTAAGTTTGAAGTTTCTATTCCCAGTCATATTCTCTATTAATTAGTCATTTACTGCGGATATAATAATTAAAGAAAATGGACAAAAACGCATACTCTGGTATTTCCTTTCCCCCTCCCTTAATTAACCATCGTTCTCATCGCAGCTTTTTGTATCGTCATCACAAATTAAAACAAAACTGACGTTACGGCGGATTTGTTTCCTTAATTTCTTAATTAGATCCGCACCCCTCATGAAATCTTAATACGCCATTAGGAACATTAATAATTAATGCAGTAATTCCTTCCGAGGTAGAAGGAATCACATGGAGAATCCGATCGCCGCCACCGCAAGGTCGTGCCGCAACAAGTTTTGGTTCGTATTCTTTTCTGTCATGTTCCTGTTTTGGTACCTATTGATCTACGGCCTCGATTGGTTTTCTTTTCCTGGAACCTCATTTTTGTTCAAACAATCATCCATTCCATTTGCCCTGGATCCAAATGCCACAAACCCGAAAAACTCGGAGTTGATGAAAGCAATAATCTCCAAACAAGATGATGAATCTGTAATGCAGGATTCATGTTCAGGGAGATATATTTATGTGTACGATTTGCCCAGTAGATTCAATGATGATCTGATTAGAGAATGCAAATTGTTGAGTAATTGGGTCGATATGTGTGATTATTTGGTTAATATGGGGTTTGGTCATGATCTTGGGAACCCCCATAGGATTTTCCAAGACAAAGGATGGTTTTCCACAAACCAATTCTCGCTAGAGCCCATTTTCCATGCCCGAATCAAGCGTTACGAGTGTTTAACGAACGACCCCCGCAGTAGCGGCTGCCGTCTTCGTCCCGTACTATGCGGGTCTGGACGTCGGCCGCTACTTGTGGGGCGGTTTCAACACCTCGGTCCGTGATTCGGGCGCTCGGGCCCTCGCCAAATGGCTCAGGGGAAGGCCCGAGTGGAATGTCATGGGCGGGAAGGACCACTTCATGGTTGCGGGCCGGGATAACGTGGGACTTCCGGCGGTTAGACGACGACGATTCCTCGTGGGGGAACAAGTTGATGTTGTTGCCGGAGTTTCAGAACATGTCAGTGTTGACCATCGAGTCAAGTCCTTGGAGCAAGAACGACTTCGCCGTCCCCTACCCGTCGTACTTCCACCCCTCCACCGACGACCAAGTTTTCCGGTGGCAGAGCAGGATGCGCCGGCTACGGCGGCGCACTCTGTTCTCGTTCGCCGGAGCTCCGAGACCCAACATGGAAGAGTCCATCCGGGGTCAGATCATCCGGCAGTGTCTCCGATCAACCAAAGGGAGGTGCAAGCTCTTGGAATGCCGGCCGGAAACCAAGAAATGCGACAATCCATATAACCTCATGAAGATGTTTCAGAGCTCTGTTTTCTGCTTAGAACCTCCGGGGGATTCGTTCACGAGAAGGTCAACGTTTGACTCGATTCTGGCGGGCTGTATCCCGGTGTTCTTTACTCCGGCGTCGGCTTACGTGCAGTATATATGGCACTTGCCGAGAAACCACACCAGATACTCTGTTCTGATACCGGAAAATGACGTCAGAGAGAATAAGGTGAGCATCGAGAGGATTCTGTCTGAGATTCCGAAATCTCGGGTTGCTGAAATGAGAGAGGAGGTGATCCGGCTGATTCCCAGAGTGGTTTATGCGGATCCAGGAGGAAGATTGGAGAGGTTTAAGGATGCTTTTGATTTGACGGTGGAAGGAGTGATAAACAGAGTGGGAAAGCTGAGGAAGGAGATGAAAGAGGGGAAGGGGGAATCAGGTTTTGATTTTGAGGAAGAGAACAGTTGGAAGTATTATACGTTTGAGACGTTAGAGAAGCATGAATGGGATCAATTTTTTAGAAGATCAATGACTCAATGAAATAGTGGGATTTTTATTCCTTTTGTAGAAAATGTTTACTTACTTGTACACGATATTAATTTTACCACTTGAATATGTATATATATAGAACTCTTCTTGTCAAGCTGGCCTGACGGGAATCTCCGTCCAGCCGAGCCCGTTTGGGCACTTTCCCGGTGAATTTTTTGATGAAGTTTTTTTGAGCATGTTTTTCATCTAGTCTAGTTTATCCATACCATTCAACTAAAAATTCAATCGGGAAGACACTCAAATCATTTTTTGAAGTCGACTGCGTCAAAATATACATATAAAAACGCAGTCAATTTAAAAAAAAAAAAAGATTTGAATGCCTTCCCGATCGAATTTTGAGCTGAAATTTGGTATGGACAAACTAGACTTGATGAGGAACATGCTCAAAAAATTTCACCGGGAAGGTTGCCAAAAGGGCTCGGCCGGATGGCTCTCCCGGTCAGTCCGGCCTGACATGTTGATTTCTCTCTCTCTCTCTCTCTCTCTCTCTCTCTCTCTCTCTCTCTCTCTCTCTCTCTCTCTCTCTCTCTCTCTCTCTCTCTCTCTCTCTCTCTCTCTCTCTCTCTCTCTCTCTCTCTCTCTCTGTGTGTGTGTGTGTGTGTGTGTGTGTGTGTGTGTGTATAGGACATTTCGGGTACTTCCCGGTGGAATTTTTTGGTGCAATTTTTTGAGCATGTTCTTCATGAAATCTAGTTTATCCATACCAAATTTCAGCTAAAACTTCAATCGGGAAGGCACTCAAATAATTTCTTGAAGTTAACTGGGCAGTTCATACATATAAACTACCCAGTTAACTTCACAAAATTATTTGAATGCCTTCCCGATCGAATTTTGAGCTGAAATTTGGTATGGATAAACTAGACTTCATGACGAACATGTTCAAAAATTTTCATCAAAAAATTCGATCAGGGAGTGCCAGAAATGCCCTCGGCCGGACGGCGGTTCCCGTCAGGCCGGCTGGACAAGAACGAGACTCTATATATACATATATATATATATATATATATATATATATATATATATACATATAAAAACGCAGTCAACTTCAAAAAATTATTTAATTGCCTTCCCGGTCGAATTGTGAGCTGAAATTTGGTATGGATAAACTAGACTTGATGAAGAACATGCTCAAAAAATTTCATCAAAAAAATTCCATCGGGAAGTGCCCGAAATGCCCTCGGCCGGACGGCGGTTCCCGTCAGGCCGGCTGAACAAGAAGTACATTTTCTCTGTAGACACACACACACATATTGGCGCATTCAACTTCAAAAAATGATTTGAATGCCTTCCCGGTAGCATTTTGAGCTGAAATTTGGTATGGACAAACTAGACTTGATGAGGAACATGCTCAAAACATTTCGTCAAAAAATTCCTCCGGGAACCGTCACAAACAGCAGAGTTCGGATGGCACCTCCCGTCCCTCCGGCTGGACCTGATCAGTTCACATCAGGAGCTCCTGAAGAGAAGCCCCGTGCGTAGTTTTGGACCCGGTTCGGGCCACCCGGCCCACTACTGTGCGGGCCCGGAACCGGCCTGGTTCTCGGATCCGGGTCCAGTTCAGTGCCCGAACCGGGGGGGGGGGGGGGTCCGGGCTCGGTGCTTGGTTTTGGTGACCCGGCCGGGTCGGGCCCGGGTCCGGGCCTAACGGCCATATTTAAAAAAAATGCTTTAAATTCTAAAGAGCCGTTTGGCTCTTTGACCCACATCCCAAACGGCTATATTGCGTTGGGTGGGTACCAGGGGGTCTAGGGCTTTTGGGGGTGGGGTGGGGGTTAAAAAAAACTATAAATACTCCTAATTTTAAACATTTTTTCACACCTCTTCTCCAACTCTTCCTAAATCCTACTCTCTACTCTCTACTCATCTCCATATTCATCTTCTCAAATTCTCTTATTCTCCATTATATTTTATTTTACTATTTAATACTTATACAATTATTATATATACTTATATATTAATTATCTACTTATAAATACATATACTATATTACTTATATTTCTTATCTACTTAATCTCTACTTATTATCTACTTATTACATACATACTACATCTACGTACTTAATATATACTTTATATATTAAAGTATTAAATATACTTTATAAACTATTACTATATACTTAATACATAATATTATCTACTTCTCTAATTATATTTCTTATCTACTAATTTTCTTATTCATCAATCTCCATTATATTTTCCTATTTAATTCTTATACAATTATTATATCTACTTATATTTGTTATCTACATAATCTCTACTTATTATCTACTTATATCTACTTAATACATACATTCCACATCTACTTAATACATACTTTATATATTAAAGTATTAAATATAAGTGTATTACTCTTCTTATAGTAGTATACTTATATATTATATACTATAAACAATATATTATATATTAGTTACACTTTAATTAATATTAGTTAAAATCATTTTATTACTCATTTACTCCCATTAATTAGTATACACAATTACACATTCATACATTTGTCTTATTACTTACATTTTGTATTAACATTACTTGATTAGTTAATTAGTATTCCCACTAATTGTTACATTTTTCATTAAACTAGTTAATTAGTTAATTAGTATTCCGATTAATTGCTAAAACAACTCTACTTTAAAAAACTAGTTAATTGTCATTATAGTTAAAGTCACATTATAATAGTTTGAATTTATATTTGAACAAAAAAGAGTAGTTCAATAATTTTATTAAAGTACTTAACATTTTATTAAAGTAGTTTTCACTAAATTAAAGTACTTGAAAAGTTGCTATAATTTAATTACTCACATTTTAGTTAAAGTCACACTTGTTACTTTTAAGTATTTATTAAAAAATACTATTGATTTGTTCGATTTTCAATTTTTATTTTAGAGTCACACTTTAATTCATTACTTAATTAAAGTACTTACACATTTTATTAAAGTAGTTTTCACTAAATTAGTTTGAAGTATTGATTAAAATAGTTTTAATTAGTTGCATTACTTTTGTATTCATTATTATATTTGTTGCAAATTAATATTTGTTACATTTTTAAGATGGAAGGTGGTAGATATTCGGTTGATATGGTTAACCTGGAGCGCAACAAAAGGAACGAGATTGGGAGGAAGAAATCCCGAAAAGGTAAAGAACTTGCCGGCTCTTCATCTCAAAGCCGAGATGATTTTGAAACGGGTTACCAAAGGAGGGATAGAGATGCGATGTCCGAAGAACAACTACAACAAGAATTGGCCCGACATAATAACCGCTTTGTCCAACAACAACAAATCCCGACGACCATTGACGAACATGAGCTCGAGGATGACGATGCGGATGAACTTGAACCAGAGACGGGCGATGGTGACGGCAACCACGACGAGGCGGACGAGCCCGCCTCATCCCAACCCGATAAGAAAAAAAGTAAATCTGAACTAATGCAAAATAATTTTGATAAGTGGAAGGACACATAAACCGGGTTTTGGCACGCAACTTGCAAGTGGTGCAACAAAAATTATAGCTTGGGAACCTCCGGCGGATACGGATCCGCCGCAAGGCATCTTAAGGCAAAGCACCCCGTGGAGTACGCAAAATTAGGTGGCGGAACGGGGAAGCAAACTCAAATATCAAGGTTTGCGAATTCTCAACCTTTTGGTAATTTCTCATACAATGATGCACAAAATTTGACTGGTATGACTAACTTTAATTTGTGAAGAAAATTTGCCTTATATGTTTTCTGAAAGTCTTGCTTTAAGAGATTATGCATGCGGTAGTTTAAATCCTTAATTTAGAGGTTATAGTCGCAAAACTGTTAAGAAAGAATTTATAAGGCTTTATGGTGCGGAAAAGGCAAGGTTACAAATTTTTTTGCAAACTTTGATGGGCGTGTTACTATTTGTTCTGACATATGGGAGGATGATTTTCATCATTTAAATTATTTGGGTCTGACTGCACATTATATTGATGAGGATTGGAATATGCATAAACGTGTTCTTGCTTTTCGTGAATTTAATGATCGTCACACCGCTGAACATATTTACATTTTGATTGAGCGTATTTTAATTGAGTATAATTTGATTGATAAGGTGTTTGCTATTGGTTTCGATAATGCTACTAATAATACTGCTGCTATACCTAGATTGCGTGAATTGTGTGGTGCCAATAGTTTGATGGGTAGATTTTTTCATCAACGTTGTGCATGCCATGTTATAAATTTATGTGTGCAAGATGGTCTAAAAACGTTAGGAGATGCTATGGAGGTAGTCAGAAGGGGGGGGGGGGGGTTAGACGTATTTGGGGTAATGGTCAACTTAGATTAAAATGACAAACTTATTTGACTGAAAGAGGTGTGAGATATGTTGCTTTTCCTAAAGATTTGAGTATTCGTTGGAATAGTACTTATAAATTACTTAAAGTTGTTATTAGATATAAAGAACATTTTCCTGCTTTTTTTAAACAACATGATAACTATATTATAAACTCGGCTGAGATCGACACTTGCGAAAAAATTTGTAATGTTTTGATATTTTTTTAATGCAACTGAAACTTTTAGTCATGTTTATAAACCTACCGCAAACCAATTTATTCGTGAAGCTTCTAATCTCGCCGGTGCTTTTAAAGAATTTGAGAATGCCATTTACGTGAGTTATTTTTGTGATTTTATGAAGGAAAAGTTTTTAAAATATTATGCACATATTCCGCATATTTATGGTATTGCATTTACTCTCGATCCTCATTTTTGACTAGCTAATTTGGAAGATTGTTTCAACTTCTATTATCTTGCTTTTTTTTGTGAATTTCCAATGTATGACGATAACCACATAGATCTGAAAACGGAATACAATGAGTTTAGTGCTTTATTTTATGCCTTATTTAATGAGTTTCGTGCACAATATGGCAACACACCCCCTCCCCTGACACGAACATCTTCATCTAAAGGAAAATCAATTTTTAAATCCGCATTTGACAATCTTATGCAAAAAAACTAAAACAACTCACCCTACTGAACAAAGCGCAATAAATGAGATTACTTTGTATTTAACATATGAAGTTGAATTTGAAGAAAATGATGACTTTGACGTTCTAAACTGGTGGAAGTCAAAAGAAAGAACGTTCCCGATTTTAGCACCGATGGCTAAGCAAGTGCTATCAATGCCGGTTTCAACCGTTCCTAACGGCATCTAGAACGAGATTGAGCGCAAACTCTCTTGAGACGCTTATATGCTACCATGATTGGTTGAAGGCCACAAGTAGAAATCAAGAAATGAGCA